AGGTGGGTCTTGGTTCTTCATCAGTGCCAAGGTTAACTTCTTTTAAGGCATCAATCGTTGCCTTCACCCCTTCTTCAAGTTCCGGGGGAGCATCTTTCGCATCTTCATCTTCTTAAGGGTCCCTATCGTTGAAGGATATGTGATAACACGGTGAAACAACGTCCAATTTCTCGTCATCCTCCATTAGAGATAAAACACCACGCCCGCCTTGTGTAGTAACATGATACGAAGAACCCATACTTTCTTTGTATTCATCACGTTCTTTAGTGTAGACCATAGTATATGGCTTCACCTTCAGTACCTCATCACACGAAACCATGACTTTTGTTTGTCGCTTCATTCTAGAAGGAACCAAACTTTGGAAATCTTTAGAGATCTTCTAAATTTTGGGCAAAGCGGGTGTTCTTCTATTTCGATAATTTCTCTGGAACTTATTCCCCTTCTTTAGTGGATCCAATCTCTCAAATACGGAAGTTCTCATTGTTGATTTCCAAGTCGATCAAAGATAGAAGGCTTATTAGAAGTGACAGATTTGTATTCTACAGTGATATAATTGTTGTTCGCCCTTCTTATGGAGATGCGCACTGGTGGCGGTTGCTTGTATCCCAAACCTTCACGTGGTTGCCTCGTCGCAGCTTCTGATGGGAGCTTCCCTAACTTTGATGGCTCATTGGGATTGTATCCAGCTTTTGCAAATAGCCTGTAAGCGTTAGAAACCTTCATCTGTTCGCTTTATAGGGAACGCCACATTTTGTAAACGATTTTGGGCTACAAACCCTGCAAGTGGCTTCGAGGACAACTTTACTGCCTCAATTTGTTTTACCGGAAGAGTTAACTCCTTTAGCATGTTAGTTTGGAGATTAGATGATTCGCCTTCATTTTTCTTTCTTTTAGGGACATATTGGAGCGTAGGACTTACTTTCTTTCCATAAGACGCAATATTCCCTTTATGAGATTTATTCGCGTCGGGTTGTACCTCCTCAGTAACAACTTTGGTTTTGTCGGTAACCACCTCAGCTCTCTTAGTCGTGGACCCGTCATCCTTGTCATTCATGACATCATCAACTTTTAGCTCCTTCATAATGCGGTTCTTCAAGTAGCTTTGCATCGGCGAAGTATGACTCAGCCTTGGTGAATGGCTCGTCATCAGCAATTATCTGCTTCTCGACTTCACCTTCGTAGTATTTCAAACATTGATGGTAGGTATATGGAACCACTTTTTTCTCATGTATCCAAGGCCTTCCAAGCAAAACGTTGTATAAAGTCTTTGCATCGATCACATGCAGTCATGCACTTGATTGTATATCTTCAATGGTGATTCCCAACCTGATCGCGCATATGGCACTTTGCCCCCCTTGGTTGAATCCTTGGATCATCACACGACTTTCCGAAAGTTTGTTCATGGGAATACCAAGTTCTTTCACAGTGCGAATTGGCAAGATGTTCACTGAGGATCCCCCATCAACCAAAATTCGATTTACCCTTTCATCACGCATATAGCCAACCAGGTATAATGGGCGGTTATGAAGATTGTCACCTAGTAGAAGGTCGTTATTTGTGAACGTAACTTTTTACTCGCACGCGTTAACTTCTTGAGGGATAGACTCGATGAGCTTTTCTGGAGATGGTGCCAATGGTAGGTCATCACTCTTTTCTTCCCCTTTATCAGCATTACAACAAGAGGCCTCAATACCATCACGGGAAATCTTTATGCAGAACTAACATGGCAAGAAATCCTCCAAGGTCACTGGATGTCGTGGCTTTTGAAGGTGGTGCACCTCCATTTTTTCTTTCTTCAAACACCTAACTAGATTCCGTTTTCTTGGTCCTTTTACCATTATTTTCATTGTTGGTTGTTCTATTGATTCTTTTCGTGGTCTCCTTTTGTGGCGCCTACGACGAGTCACCAACGTCTAACCTTCATCATAATCAGGTTGATCGACTTCAACTTTATTGTTCTCCAGTAATTCTCCATCTTTACTTTCTTTAAAACCATATAATTCATTCGGACTGAATGAGCCAAAGGTGATATAGAGACTTGGTTTGCACTTGCTTTCTCATCTTCAAGCACGATCTTCTTTTCATAAGCCAATTCCATAACTTAGTCCTTGAAGACAAAGCACTTCTCCATAGGGTGGCTCACAAGTCGATGATATTTGCAGTAATTTGGGTCATCAGTTTTCCTAGCTTCATTTGGCCGCTTCATCTCCGGAAGCTCAATGAGATTTAACTCGCTGAGTTCTTCAAAAATTGCTGGCACATCAGAATCCAGAAATGGGTAATCCTTCTCTTGCATTTCTTTTAGATTCAACTTTCCACTTGGTTTATCTTGAAAAGAAGTGGATTTCGTACTCCGCTTCTTGCTCACCTTCGTTGTGAACTTCACAGGTGATGTGTTGATATTTATAGCTTTTTTGTTTTCAGACTTGGGTGCAAACTTGCTCCATTTCTTGACTTCTTACTTGACGTTCCTTTTGCGAGGCTCATAGATAGACAACCTTTCGTTTCCAGCGGAGGCCATGCTTAACTCCATGTCATGGGCACGAGTCGCAAGTCCTTCAAATGTGCTAGGCTTGATAAATTGCAAGATGTAGAGGAGTCCCCAATGCATGCCTTGGATGCACATCTCAATGCTAGAAGCTTCACTAAGCTTGTCTTTGCAGTAGAGGCTTGCATTCCTCCAACGATTGATAAAGTCGATAACTTGATCACTCTTCCGTTGACGAGTATTTGTAAGTTCCATCATGCTCATGGTGCGCCCTGTGCTATAAAAGCGATTGAGGAACTATTGCTCTAGTTGATCCCAGCTATCAATAGATCCCGCCTCGAGGTCTGTATACCAGTCAAAAGCATTTCCTTTTAGCGAGCGGACGAATTGCTTGACGAGGTAATCTCCATAAGTCCCAGCGTTGTTGCATGGCTCAACGAAGTGTTCCACATGTTGCTTTGGGTTTCCTTTTCCATCAAGCTGTTGAAACTTTGGAGGTTGATAGCCAGCAGACATCTTGAATATAACGATCCTCGCAGTATATGCTTTGCGTATGTGAGAGAGGACTTGGTGACAACTTTGCACTTGCTTTTAATAGTTCCTTCAATGAACTCCTTGAGTTGATCGATTGAAATCATCCCTTCAGATGAGACAGGGATAGCCTTAGCAGATGCAACTTGTCTCAGGGGAGAATTACTCTCTGGAACCTCGGGGAGCTTGCCAGTTGCATGGGTGGATTCTTCTTCCATCAATATTCCTGCCCTGTCTGTTAGCTTGTCAATTCTAGCATCTTGATTTTGCATGCACTTGGTAAAGCCAGTGATTGCTTCCGTCAAGTTTGCCAACTGTTCTTCCACAGATGAAGTGTTTGTCACCATGGTTTACATGATTGTCGTGGACGATGGAGAGTAGCATAGATTATCATACAGATTGATCCTCGATTGGCTCACGCTATATGGTGTAAGTGGGGAGGATCCATCACTTGAAGCATCTTCATAGCAGAGTGCTTGGATCCAGAGAGGTCAAGCAGAGCAAGAGTTTTCTTGATCTTTTCAGCAGCATCGCTTCCTCCTTCGGCTGCGCTTGTGGAGGATCTTGCTCCTTTTGAGGATGAAGATCTGAAAATAAGGTTGATGCGAACGGCACATGGGGTGCTTGTTGTCCTAACGAGCTTGATTTGCTCCTCGTAACTGGTCCAAAGCTTCCAAAAGTAACATCGAGGATGCTTTCCACATCAGCATAGAACCTGGAATTAGCAGCCTTGGTGGAAGTTGAACTGGTGTTGATTTTCTTTGAAGCCATTTTGATGTTCTTAAACTTTGGTGATTAAAAAGTTGAGATGAGAGGTAGAGATTATTCCACTGGGCATGTCAGAATTTGTAGACAATAAATTGCGTCGAGAAAAGAAAATCAAGACCGAACATATCGCAATAATCGTAGTATTTTATTTTAAATATTTGAGTGTTACAATCTCTCTGGTTCCTCTGATTCTACTTTTCAACAGTAAATAAAAGAGCCTTCAAGCTCAATCTTGAATTTTATTTTATTTTAATCCAAGTGCTTGAGACCTGATCTTTATCTTGACGTATTTTTAATCCAAGGGCTTGCAGCTTGTTCGTGAATCTTCGTCTTGATCTTTTAATCCTTAGAACACTTGAATGCTTGTAGCTTTTAGAGAAATTTGTAGCGTTTGATCCACGAGCTCCCTCTTGCTTCTTGTTATAACTTCCGGTCTCCTTTCTGGGTTATGAAGACCCCTATTTATAGTTGTGGGAGGGAAGAGTTATGATAAGAACAAACTCTTTCCGATCAATCAAATTGAAGTGTGACAAGGCCGCATTTGATTAGCCAAAATATGTCACTTGCACGCGTGGCACGATTTCATTGGCCATTCAATTTGGCTTGGCATGCCTTGTCATTTTGACACGTGGCACGATCCTATTGTCTCCTTCGTTTGACTTGGTGTGCCACGCCATTTGACACGTGGCACCAAACTGGGCCTCTAGGAAGATGGCATATTGGGCTTAATGAAGTGGGCTCATCACTTTAGCCCAATTAACTGGGCTAGCCCAATGGATTAAGACTTATTTATTTAATCCATATATATATATATATATATGAGACTTATATAATTAATTCAATTATATTAGCCCATAATATCTATTTGGACCAATATATCTTGAATTTAAAATATAGTCCAAATCATTTTATGAATTGAATTTTAATAAAATTTATATGCCTACAATGACATTTAGACAAAACTAATTATTTTTGCTCAAAAGTGTGAAAGAATCTGAATATTTAATCCAAAATTTTAGAGTGATGGTGAAGTAACCTAGGATCTTTATAAGCTGGTCGATGAACCCGTATACAATCGATATAGGACATGTGATTTATTCTCTAACACTTCTCCTATGTGTAATCCAGTTCTAGAGTTCACATGTTGATAAAAACCAATGGAACAATGTAAAAAAAAAAAAAGACGACGACTAAGAACTAAAGCTAACTATGCTAAGATAAAACTAGGGTTTGATTTCATTGATAACTGTTAATGCAAAGGCTTGCAACTTATTATACCCTAGCTGAACAAATACAAATACAAATAAAAGGAAAAAGTACGTACATTCTCCTCACAACTTTTGACTAGGACTAGATGGCAACATTTAAGGAAATCAAAGGGGCTAAACTAAAATGAAGAAACACCAAAGGGTAAACATAACTCCAGAAGCACGAAGTACCATTTTTCACAGCAGATCTCAAATCAAATTATATCATCACCCTTTCCTTGAAAACTTCCTTGACCTTAAGGAAGGAGCTCAAGAAACCTCATCTTCATTGTAGCATAGTCTTCCCAAGTGGCCTGATTCTTTAGCGGAGTCTTTCATTGCACCAATATCTGTGGTAATACCTTGTTTCCCCTTTTAATCATTCGTTTGCCTAATATCTCCCGAGCTCTATACAATTTGAGCTTGAAATCCCTGTTGTTGGAGGATGACTAAATATAGTTGGAACAGTGTAGCAAGGTTAGAGGTTGGACACATGAAAAGTGGGATGGAGAGCAACTTGAAGTGAAAAAGATAGTTTATAATTAGCAACAGTCCCTACCTTCTGCAGGATCTGATAGGGGCCATAATAATTGGCTGACAATTTTGAGAAGGTTTGAGTAGATAATTAGAGTTGCTTGAATTTTTAGGTAGGCTCAATCTCCAACCTGAAATTGTCTGTCACTCCTATATTTATCAGCCAAATCTGTCATCCTATGTTTGGCTCCGTAAAATGATACTTAAGATTCTCATACTTAAGCTCCATGTTAGTAAGGCTACGATCAACTTCATCTTATGTGGATTCACTTGGAAAATAGGACTAATGAATGTAAGGAGGTTGCCTTTATAGAGCCTCATAAGGAGTTGAGTGAATTGTTGAGTGAAAGATGATATTGTACCACCATTCATCCAAGGGCAAGTGTATCACCCAATCCTTCTGATTGTCAAAGCAATAACACCTCAAGTATGTCTCCAATATTCTGCTCTAACACTTCATTTTGACCATCAGACTGAGGATGATAAGCTGATAATGTACTCAAAGTTATACCCTGTAGTGAGAAGAGTCCCTACTAGAACCTACTGATGAAGATGGGACCTCTATCAGTAATAATATTTTCTATTATCCCATGTAGTTTGAAAATATGATCAAGGAATAACTGAGCTACTGATGGTACAGTAAAAGGATGAGTTAAACCAAGAAAATGGTCATACTTGGTTAACCTACCAACTACCACCAAGATAGTGGTCAATCCATCAATGAAATCTATGCTTATGCTTGACCAAGCCAATTCAGGAATCACTAGGGGTTGAAGCCGACCATAACATACTGAATTATCATATTTGTTCCTTTGGCATATTGTACATTGTTTAGTCATGTCACCACATCATCCTCCAAACCTTTCCAACAGAAAAGAGTGGCCAATCTTCTCTGAGTATTGTCCATGACTGAACGGCCTCCAATGGGGCCATCATGCCATAGGTGTATTATTGCCTTCCTTAAAACTGGATTATTACCATCCACTAGCCTTCCATATCTTCTAAGTTAATGATTGACAAGAGTCTATCCCTTCTTATCATTTAGTTGATCCTTGATTTTGGTAATAAGCTTAGCCATTTCCACATCCTTACACCAACTATTCTTAATTTTCTGAAATAAGTTAGGATCATGAGGTGCCATAACCATGTCAGCTAGCTCAACTAATGGCAACCTGGATAATGAGTCAATTGCTTAGTTTTCTATCCTTTTTTTGTAATCAATAACAAAGTCATATTGCATGAGATTGGCTATCAATTTCATCTAGGAGTTGGTGTGTATTTTTTGATCTAGGAGGAATTTTAGGGCTTTTTGATTAGTTCTCACCATAAAATTAAGGTCTGCCCTTGAGATACTGAGACTGCTTAGTTATTGCCATGACTAAGTCAAGCAACTCTTTGTCATACACAGATAGACTCTAATGCTTCCCAGATAACCCTTTGCTTATGTAGGCTATTGAATGACCTTCTCATCTGCACCAAGTCATGTGTCACATGCATCAGTCTCTACTACAAATAGCAATAAACTATTTGGGAGAGCTAACAGTGGAGCTGACACTAGAGCCACATTCAGTTTCTCTAAGCCTCTGTATCACTCCATGTCCAATTGAATCCTTCCTATTTCTGTAGATCTATGAGTGATTTACTAATGATCCCGTACCTTCTTATGAACCTTCTCTAGTTGCCAGCCGATCAAAGAAAATCCTTCAATTCTTTCATAGTTCTTGTCACATACCATATTTGAACAACAATTATATTCTTAGGATTAGTGAAAACCCCTTCGACAGTTATAAAATATCCTACATACTCCACCCTATTGGTCCTAAATTTACATTTGACTTTTGTACAAATAATTGATGTTTGACCAATAGATCAAATTTTATCCTTAGGTGTTTCAAGTACTCTTTAAGGCTGCTACTAAATACCAAAATATCGTCAAAAAGGACTAAGATTCACTTCCTCCAAATTGCCTTGAACACATGGTTCATGAGTCCCTTGAAACATAATGGAGCACTAGTAAGCCCAATTGGAATTACTAAGTACTCAAAATGGCTTGAATGAGTCCTGAAAGTTGTCTTTTGGTCATATACTACATGTATCCTTATCTGGTGATGACCTGATTAAGTTTGGAGTAGATCATGGACCCTCCTAGTTTATCAAACAACTCTTCAATTATTGTAATTAGGAATTTGTCCTTAACGACAGTCTTGTTGGTGCCCTATAATCAACACAGAGTCTCGAGGACACATCTTTCTTTCCGACTAATACACCTAGAGAGGCATATGGACTGGAACTGGGCTACATTATTCCCTGGTCAAGCATGTTCTTCACCAAGCCTTCAATATTATATTTTTGCTTAGAGGAGTACTGTAGGGCCTGACATCAATGGAATTGGTTCCAACTTGCAAAGGAATCATGTGATCAAAGGATCCCCCGGAGGGTAGTTACCCTTTTAGTTCTTCAAATTACTGCTTATTCTCCTCTGTTAAGGCCAACATTTGAGAAAATCTCAACTATATGGAGGTCCTCTTCACTCTTACCAGGTAGGACTCTGATCATGAATGTGCTCTTTCTCGTTCCAACTTGTCCAACGTTTTTGCATTTATAGTCTTTGTCTTGTTAGTGGTTCCCTGCGACACCACCTCTCCTCCCTGATAAATGAACCCAAGGGTTAATTCCTTGAAGTTAAGCTTGAGATCCCACAAAGGCCATAGTCACTATACTCCTAAAATCATATTTACTGACCTCAAAAGTAACTTGAACAAGTCAGATGTGAATGTCACTCCTTGTAACAACCACGTGAGCCCCTTATACAACTCAGAAGTCTGCATTGCTACCATTAGCTACACTAACATTCTGAGGAGTTATTGCCATACTATTACCCCCTATTCCTCTTGTTACCTCTTCATTAATCAAATTGTGAGTACTGCCAAGGTTAATGAGAATACTCAAGGTACTCTTTTCACAATATCTGTCACCCCTATAAGAAACCCATTGATTTTATTTAGGGCATGAACTGAGATGTCACAGGCTTCCTCCTGCTCTTGATCCATTTCTTCCATTCTTGATCTTCTGGCACTTCTTCTACCACAACTTTAGTATTTTCCTGAACTTATAATAGATACAACTACTTAGTTGAATTGTATTTGACCTGGAACAAGTTTCTCATCACAAAAGAAGCACATCCTCTTCTAGCTTTTCTCACTCATCTTAGTTGGAATAAGTCTCCTAGTAGTGTTCCTGTCTATATTGGCAATTGGATGATCCCTTAACTAGACATCTTCCTTTTTGTTCCCTACACTTATAGACATTGAACTAGAGGAAGCACCCCTTGACTGAGAGTACCCACTACCGTACAAGGAAGCCTTGGTTAACTTCTGTTGTGCATTCACCTGAGCCTTAGTGTTTCTAGCTAGTTGGTGCTTGAGGTAGTAAGTATGGTCTGTGATTTTTGACAGTGAAATAGATCTCAGGTTTAAGCCAGTAATAAAAGTAGTAATGGTATACTCAAGGAGGATAATCAGCCTAGTCATGATCCAGTAGACTTCTAAAAATACAATCTACTTAAATAACTTAAGCTCAGCCATGGGGTCTCTATACTCAATACACAAACCTATCCATCAAAGCATACACATACTCTTTCCAGGTAGGATAAGATAAATGTGATCGACTTCTTAAATAAGCAAGATGTCATTCTATAGCTATGTCATCAAAATGTATAGAAGCTACCTTAACCCGCTGAGTGCATTCTACTTCATCAAAAGAGAAAAAATGCTCTACCTTACACATCGAAGCCCTCAAGTTGGTGCCATTGAAACGTGGGAACTCCAACTTGGTCATCATAGTCATGTTGGTGCTTCTAGGAAAGGTAGCATCAAGCTGATATGTCCTTCCATTAGCAGCACCTCCCCCTTGGTGACTAGCTGAAGTTTGGACCTGAACATGACCTGCAGGCATCTGCACTTAGGGCTGCTTATTGGGCGGATCGGATGGATAATTACGCTTAATGGTTCGACTTATCGATTATCAGCTTTTAAATGTACTAATTTGTTAACCAAACGATAAGATATCTGTCGGTTCGGTACCAGATTAGCAATTATTGGGCGCTGTATTGGCTAAATCTAAGAGACAATAAAAATTAAAATCACATGCAACTTCTAATTCTTTTGCACAACTGCTTTTGCTATGATGAAACTAGGGTTTAATTTCATTAATGACTGCTGAAGTGCAAAGGCTTACAACTTATGCCCTAGCTGAGCGAATACAAACAAAATAAAAGGATAAGGTCCGTACATTCTCCTCACAACGTTTGACTAGGATTAGATGGTGACATTTAGGAAAATTAAAGAGGATAAACTGAAAGAAAGAAACATTAACTGAAACTATTTAGGGACTAAACTGTCTATCAAGCTTCTTTTAAAACTAACGTCCAACGGGTTGGCACAACTTCGGAAGCATAAAGTACTATTTTCCACAGTAGGTCTCAACTCGATTTGTGTCACACGTGGATATGAAAACAAAATTCATGTTTTATTCTTCACAATGCAAAATGTAATTACTAATACTACTTTGATGCTTTTGTAAAATTCATCTTTTTGCTTATACGAACCACAATTTTGAACGGAATAAAAAAATACTTTGTTAAACTTGTGCTTAGAAAGAAGAATTTGAAAAAAGAAAAGAAAAACTAAATAGTACCATAAGTCTATATCTTTTTGTTTGTTACTAAATTTTTGACACAAAATAGAAGGGACCAAAAACCAGGAGAAAGTGCTAATGTAAGTCTTTTTAAGTCTATACTCTAGCACTAATGACCAAATGGAAATTTCCTACTAGTTTCCTTTGTTGATGAGTCATTGCCTGTTCTAAATGTAATATTAAGAGATACGTCATATGTCATCTGAAGATAACACTCCAGCTTTGTAGTCTAAGGGGATGGTCAACGATGTTTAAATTTAGAACAAAAAAGCACGCCTCTAATAATTGTTATAAAATATAGTGTTTCTATAAATATTTGTCACTGCTATGAAGCTAAAACTTCCAATCAAGATTCCTGAACAGAGTGAGGCTTATTTTAGTGGTAGAGTAACTTCGCTATTAACAAATAATTTCAAAGTTAGAATCACATAAATAATAAGTAGGAATACTGTTAATCAGAATTTTAATCAATGGGATTCAAAAAAATAAAAAAATAAATACGTGGAAAAGGTTAGAAAATTTAATATTTAATATTTTTATATAAAAAAAATTGACCTAATATATACTATGTAATTTCCGACGAAGGACCCGTAAGCTCCGCTGCTCCTGCTGATCATGGTGAAATAGAGGATTGAAATCTCAAAATTTTGAAGTTTCTTTTTGCGTATTGTATTGGTAATTCAATCTACAAAGACCATGATTATAAATTGTTTGCTAGTCTCTCTCAATCTTTCTTTCCTGAAAAGAATAATCGAAGTAGAATTAACGGGATAAAAATAAAAAAGTTAGCACTAGTATGGTCAAAACTCTAAAGTCAAAAGTCAAAACAAGATGGTGGTTGGAATTTGCTAATCCCAAAGCCATGTTCATATCTAGTCAAGGCAACTGGTCAGAGTCTATTGATCTATCATTAAATTGGACTACCATATATTGAGTAATAAAGACTATTCGACATTGAACTTTGTAAATAAAAAGGAGAAAATTTTCAGTTTTGTTAGATATTCTCCTATTGTTGATCATACACACTTTAAACGGATCGAATCATCTTGGACTATATTAACTTGACTTTCACCCTAAACATGATTAATTTTCTTGTGTCCTACCCCACAACTTAGGTAGCAGTGTAGTGTAATTATCGTCGAGGAGTATGGTGGAACAATTAAAAAAGTTTCATTCATAATCAGATGGGTTCGAGTTCCAAAAATGAAGATCATCAATGGTGAACGTTTAATTCCGTTAGTGAGCTTTTCCCGCGTTAATACAAACTAATCGAACAGTAAAACTTTGAAAACCAAATGAATTTGAAAAGGTAAAAAAAAAAAAAGACAACATGTATATACCATCCGACAAACTAAGACACTAATAAAGTCAAAGAAAGGAGATACTTACTAGTAAGTTCAATAGCGTGATTAATTCTTTTACTCTGTCAACACAAAAACTTTACTTCAAAAAAAAAAAAAGATGATAAAAACTTCATTAAAATGTCGTAGAGAAACAGAAAAGAGAGAACAGGTTGTTTTCATTAGGAAATTCACGGTCAAAGTATTACTAAACCCCAATTCAAAATTAAACGTCTCACAATATATGTTATTGTTGTGTTCATTTAGCAAGTGGTCTATATATAATTTTTCAGGGTTGATGAACTTTATACAAATAATATAAGGTCACGCCCCAAATTGGGATGGGACGTGATTGGCACTCAACCCTTACCACTCGTTGAGTGAACCCTGTACTATTTGTATCAAACTTCAAGTTCAATAGTAAAGAATCTAACCTGCTTAAATATTAATTCTAATCAAGTTGCAGTTTTTAAGCTGAATAATAATAAAAATAATAATAAAGGATAAATCCCAAACTATTTTAATACTGATCCACTAATAGGTCATGGGCCTCTAGAATCTGAAAAACAAAATTAAAATACATAATCTATGGGGGCATCCCCGGAAATAAAATAAACTTAAAAAAAAAAGATATAAATAATAGTCTGAAAACAGTCCGCTACCACTGGGGTGAATCAACGGACTCTGTAAACTGAATCTAGAATATCTCCTCTAACTACGTGTCTCGTTACTTGCATCCTCAATACCTGCCACACGACATAGCAGGCCCAAACGGGCTAAGTACCACCAAAGGATACCCAGTAACTCATAGGCTACCTCCTAAAAAGGCAGAGCGAGACCTTCTGGAAAATTTAAGAAAGAAAAGGGATATACATAAAATCATATAAATCATATAAAATTTTACAACCAAGTAATAAGTTGGAAACTGAAACTGTAAGCTAAACTGTAAGCTGAAACTGAAACTTAACGTAGAAATTGAGCCCATAACTGATATCTGAAATAGAAACTGAGTTATATATATTTTAAGATGTAACTTTGCAAAGTTAATTGTTACGCATAATGGCCTTGCGTACGTGAGCATCTGGGAATATGTACGGTGGAGTGTCGGCCTATCTCCCCAACAAACAGTTGGCACCTGTGAGCGTGGGGTAGGTAACCCTGACATCATGGCACTCACGCTGGGGGAGGTTGGCCACTTCTCCCTACTGAATGTGAATATCACAAATAAATGCACATAACAATTAGTAATACACATAAGTATGTATTCATGTCACATATAATGTCGTACTGAATAAGAATAAGTGAACTGAGTATTGGATCACGAGAAGACATGACTTAGCTTTATCTAACATATGGAACACAAGCGTTATAATGGAAATTCTTACTACGAAAGTAAACCTCAACTCACCTCAAGTCTTAGATTCAATTCGTCCTTTCAAACTTCCCGGGAGTTCAACAACTCAGGATCTACAAATATTTTGGCTAGGATCATTAGGACATACTCAACAAGTTCAATTCACCACCAATTGAACTAATTTCTAAATCATGGATTACTCAATATAATCGACACTTAATGTGAAAAAAATGTATTTCTCTGTCAAGCTTACTGCTACGATATCCTTGACCACTTGGTATATGGAAAGGAAGAAACATATTTTAGTATCAAAAATATTACATGTCCATACTTAAATAACACCATCCAAAACATATGACCCTAATAATAATCCAAATACTCTAGCAACGTTCAAATCTGATTCTCACTTTACCCATAAAGTTTTGTCCATTACTAGATGAAAATAATTTCTCTATTATTTTAATATTTCTAATCATGTTTTCAATCTTTAAAAAAAACTTGGCAACAACTTAAATGGGTTTAGAATTTATCAAATTGCTTTCAAATTACTTCTTGTCATCATTCTAAAGAATTTGATATCCACATCAATCCTAATGTAATCCAAGGCATAATACAGGGTTAAGATTATATATCTATATACCTGATTGTTGGTTGAATTGCACAAGAAAATTTTCAAGCTTTCTAGTTCTCTGCTCACACCAGTTATGTATCTTCAAACAACAATGACCCAAGCAACAGATCAAACAATTGTTCTTCCACAACTTCTTTTTCTTAATTTGATTCCAGAGCTAAAGAGGTTTTAAAACAGCTTTCCCTTAAGCCATTCTAAGGTTATGCAAAGTAGAAAAACACTAAGAAGTAGGCCTAGCCTACTTATTTTCTCCTTTATCTAAAGTGTTTTTTTCTTCTTCTGCAAGTCATGCTAAGACTTTGTAAAGTAAGAACACTAAGAAGTGGGATTGACCCACTTATTTTTTCTTTTATCTAAAGTATTTTTTTTCTTCCGTAAGTCATGCTAAGACATTGTAAAGTAAGAACACTAAGAAGTGAGGTTGACCCACTTATTTCCTCCTTTAATCAAAAGTTTGGTTATTCAATTCATTAGATCTATTTCCATACTTCAGGTTTAATTAGTCCAAAAAAAAATGATGGTGTATTACATATAATATCGTCAACTCACATGTATTTTAAAAGTTTATCTACGTCAAGATTTTTAATGCATTTAAATTTGTTGTGGTTTTACATTAAACTAATTTTACACTAAAGAATCCTGTTAATTAATAATAGTGCATTACTAATGGCAGTATTTTAAGTATTTAACATTGATTCTTCCTATAGTATCTTTTTCCAGCTAGGTTTAAAACATTAATTACCAAAAAGTCAATTTTATCACAAAGATAAGGAAAAAGAAAAGAAGAGGGGGAAATAGTTGTGTCCACACCTGTTCATATCTACTAACTGTTGGGATATATACTATTAACTATGTGTTTAGGTATAGTATTTATTATAAAATAATTATTTATTCAATTGTAATAAAGATTTAAATAGAGCATGTATTCGTCTGTGTAATGTACCTATAAAGTAGATGATTTAGTGTATAGAGTTTATCTTATACACGAAAGATTAAATCATCAGTTCTTATAAATATAAAGATTATGCTTACAATCTAAGATGGAGTTGGGCAAACCATCATGAATGATTGTAGAATAAAATTAAATATAATTTATCTTGATTATGAAAATGGTTTAATTCCAACTTCTTGTGATAATATATTTTGTATGTATTGAACAAATCAAGTAGATACACGTATTTTATACTGACTT